CTGTGAAGAGGGGACACAGAGGGACAGATGGGAGAGAGAAGACCTGGTATTAGTCACATCGGAGGGTTAAAAGATCTATTACTCCATCTGTTTTTAACCCACCTAGAACATCCATGTCATAGAGGTAGAAAATGGAAGGTGATACAATATCCATGGCAAATTAGTAGTTACAACTTTTGATACATGTTCTTCAAAAAAAAAAAATAGCCTCACCAGTTTTCCCTAGACATACACACGCCAACACAGATCAACTGAAATCGGATAGACTTACCGTTCTTAAAGACTTTTAGATGAGTAACTCACAGACAGTCCTTGAACTACAAAAAGTTCTGCCCCGGAGAGAGATGTTGAAAGAGAAGATTTCTGGGGTAAATTGCAGCAACAGACATAAGGGGACAAGGAAAGGGAGACCATGATATAACAGAGAAAGAGTGAAAGCTAATGGGACTGGTTGTCTTACTGAACAGTGATGGAAAACCCAGCTATAATCAAGGTCCAGACCTTGCAGCAAGATGGATGTGAGAGAGCTCTTCTGCATGTAGGTGGGGGTACTCAGTGTCCCCAACACCATTTATTGGGGGGAGGGGACCGCCCATTCCCATTGTGGGTTTTTTCTGGCATCTGTATCAAGGATTAATTGACTATAAATTTAAGATCTAGTTCAGATTCTTTATTCTGTTCCATCATCTATGTATTTTTAATTCATTTATTATTATTGTAAAGGTGATGTACAGAGGGTTACGGTTACATAACTCAGACAAAGAGTGCATTTCTTTTGAACAATGTCACCCCTTCCTTCATGCTCTCCTAGTTTTTCCTTCCCCTCCCCACCCACAATTGTATAGTTCATTTTCAACACAGTGTCTAGTGAGTATCACTCCTTTTTTTGTTCACCCTTTGTCCCTCCATTTCTGCGCCCCTCCCTTCATCTTCCTAAACACAGATAACTGAACAAACAAGACAAAAGGAAATGAAAACAAAAACAGCAACAAAGAGAAAAAAAACCCTTGTTTCCATTTTCAAACACAAACAAGGTCACACTGAAGTACCAGCACAACTATATTCACTGCAGCATTAGTTAACATAGCCAAGATATGGAATCGACCCAGATGCCCCTCAGTGGATAAATGGACCAAGAAAATGTGGTACACATACACAATGGAATTCTACTCATCCATTGGAAAGAATTTTTTTTTGGTCGGTTGTGGGCTTGAACTCTGGGCCTGGGTGTTGCCCCTCATCTCTTCAGCTCAAGGCAAGCACTCTACCACTTGAGCCACAGTGCCACTTCTAGTTTTCTGGTGGTTTATTGGAGATAGGAGCCTCACGGACTTTCCTGCCCGAGCTGGCTTTGAACCACAATCCTCAGATCTCATCCTCCTGAGTAGCTAGGATTACAGGTGTGAGCCACCAGCGCCCGGCCTGGAAAGAATCTTATTGTACCATTCATAAGAAAATGGAAAGACTTGGAAAAAATTATATTAAGCAAAGTAAGCCAGACCCAAAGAAACATAGGTTGCATGGTTTCCTTCATTTGTGGTGACTAGAATGTACCTATAAATCTACAAGAAAACACACTGGATAGTAAAAAAAAAAAAAAAATACACTGGGACATGATAAATTATCCAGGTCTTTAGACATTCACACCGCGAGACCAAACGAGGATATTCTTAGGAAAGGATCACATAGGCACAAAAGCTAAGTCCATCTGACCATATAAAATAATACTTATCAAAATAAACTCCTGTATGTATACATTTTTACACTAGTACCATCAAAGTGTTTTGCTGTATTTATCTTTCAACTTGGTCTGGTTGAGGGGGAGCTGGTTATTGTTTTGGTTTTAATTTTTTTTTCCGCTGAGAATTTTTTTTATTATCTTTAAATAGTTGTAAGGAGTGGCCATTTAACAAAGCAGTTTATGAATACAATAGCATATTTTAGTTATGCAAAGGGGTTTCATGGAAATTCTTCCAAACCTATAGAAGATATTATATTACATATTACATATTATGTCATATATTATATATCATATATAATGTCTGATGTATATAATGTACTTAGATCATATGCACCCCTCTATTCTCTTATTTTCCTTTCCCCTTTTTATTTTTATTTTTCACAATTTTAATGGGCTTCATTATTCTTGTTTCTCAGCTGCAGACAATTAACTCTGACCATGCAGACGCCCCATCCCCCTCTCCTTTTGTCCTCTCTAGCTTTGAACTGCATTTGAAAATCAGGTATAAAACTGATGGCCTCCGCCTTGTTCTTTGAGCTCAAGATTGCACTATTGGATGTCTTTGGTGTCCCCTACAGGTTTTAGGATTTTTTTTCTATTTCTGTTTTTTAAAAAATTCCATTGGAATTATGATTGGGATTGCATTACACATCAGATGAACCTCGGTACTAGGAAAACCTCAAAATATTAATTCTTCCAGTACAGACTCTAATTATGTCTCCTTCCATTTCTTTCATCCAAGTTCTACAGTTCTCAACATATAGATCCTTCATTTCCTTGGATATAATCCCTACATTTTTTTATGCTACTGTAAATGGCATCATTTTCTTGATTTATTTTTCAGATAGTGTGTGACTAAGATTTAGAAGCACTACTGACTTTTGCATGGACTCTCCTCCTCGGTTGTCATTTGAAAACGCAAGTCCAGTTAGACTACTGATAGTTTTGAACCAAACTAAAATGGTTTCTAGGCCACCAACGAATGAGCACTGTATCAGGGGTGAGGCATTTGTTTACTTCCAGAGCAGAGCTCTGCCAGCTGCTCCCTGCCAGGCTCTGCAGAGACGGGGTGCCAGGGGGAAGTCCCGAGGGTGGAGAAGGACGGAAGCCTGGCACCACGCTGCAGGTAACCTCTTCTCTGAGGCACCAGCAGGGCATCCGCTGAATGCAAACAGCAGACACCACGGCACCCACCCCATCCTCCCCCACCAGCATGGTGCCAACCATGGTGCCCTCTTCTGAGATTGGCATTACAGCTCTATCTGCGACCTGTAAACCCTTCCCACCCCTCTGTTTCTCTTTGTCACTCGCATGGTTACTGCCACTCCCTGCTGTCATTGCTGCAGTAATGCTGCTCATTTTGATGGTGTCACTGGGGTTTTGAACTCAGGATCTCACGCTTGCTGGGTTATTTCAGCCATAGCTCTAGCCCAGCCATACAGATGAGTCAAAAAAAGAAAAAGGCAAAACTTATTTAACTGGTTAATTTTATATCAAAGAATCTCTCAAGTAACTGGTAGAATTTCTGTCTCCTGACGATTCCCACTGATCTAGACACATAGGTAAATTGAGAAATCTTAGAAATGAGGCATTGAATTCAATCTCTCACCTTTACCAATGAAGAGGTTGGTCCCCAAAATGATCAGTGATTTTCCCCGCCCCTCGAACCCCCCAACCATGGAGGAGGACTAGCTGTTGCTGCATCCCTGGTTGCCTGGCTCTCCGCTGTTTGCAAGCCAACCTCCCGGTCCAGGGGAATGAAGGGACCAGAGAAACAAGAGGAGCCTCTTCCGTGCTGGGTTTGGAGGCTGGGAAAGGAGCAGTGGAAGAAAAATGAGCCAATCCACCAGGGAAGCGACACATGAAATTCACGATGCCTCACACCTGGCTGAGCTATGAAACTCATTTGAAATCTGTCTCTAGCAGAAGAAATTAAGACAATAAACTTGGAAAAACGAGAGCGCAGAGGAGTGATCGAAAATGACTTCAGCATGAAGCAGATGAGGGGCTCGTTAGAAAGCCAGGAACTCGGTCACCCTTCGTGTCTGCTCCACAGCTGAGTTGGCCATCCTAGGCCCCACCCCCAACCCCTCCATGCCCTGAACTATGTAGGAAAATTAATGGTTGCTACCTGCCGAGCAGAGGGGCCTCGAGAGATGAAAAGACTGCCCATCCCGATTTGATCATTACGCATCATGGGCCTATAACCCATCATATGGTAGGAATAATTATTATGTGTTGATTAACAAATTGTAAGGGAAAATATTCAGCCTTTTAAGTAGCTGAAACAAAAGGAAGGCTCCACACCTGTGGGCTACAGTTTGCAGATCCCCTTTTCCAAGCGAACTCTGAGCCTCCTGTTCATCTTTCCTGGCCTCCACAACTCAGACCTCTCTCTGCTGTTGGAGATCTGATTGTCCAGTGCTTGTCAAATTCCTGTAACTGTCATCTTCTGAAGGAGGAGGGGGAGGAAGAGGAAGAAGAGGAGGAAGAAGGGGAGGAGGAGGAGGAAGAGGGAGAGGTGGGTGGTTGGAGGAGATAGGAAGGGAGGAAGGAGGAGAAGGGAGGGGAGGAGGAAGAAGAGGCAAGAGAGGAAGAGAAAGGACCATGCGGTCTCTGTGTCATCGAGTTCCCCATCATGTCTTGCACTCAGCATAGATGTTCACATAGTAGCTGTTCCATTAATGTTAGTCCAATAAATCAGACAGAATAAAAATAATGCGCACTCTAAAACAAGCTGAGAACAAAAGGCATAAAGGGTAAAGGTAAAGAAGAGAAACAAAAGCAACCATGGATGACCTCACTACTCGAAGATGCTCCGGGTGTTTTGGTGCATGGCTGGCTTCCCAGTGGAGGTTCACAGTGGAGAGCAGTCTCTTGGTTGGAAATTTCCACCCCGGGGAAGAGCATCTTTGTGCCCGTGTTCTCATGAGCCTCTCTAAGACATAGAATCCTAAGGTCAAAGGGGATCATGGATTTTGTGGTTCCCAAGCTGGGTGGAAATTTTTCCTTCTAGGGAGCTGGCAAGTTCACAGATCTCACAAGTATTTCCTCCTATCATCAAAAGCTCAAGGATAGCACCCCGGCTCTGAGTTCAAGCCCCATGACCAACAACAACAACAAAAATTACTTGCTGATAGCAGAGATGTCAGCAAAAGCTTCTGTATGGAGGATCATCTTGGTTTAGCAATTAACCAAAGACAAAGAAGGCATTTCCCACTTTTTCTGCATAAATGCCTAGAGCTCCCTCTTCCTGAAA